AGAGAGAGAGAGAGAGAGAGAGAGAGGAGAGGTGAGAGGCAGACAGAGACAGACACAGTTGAGGGAAAAGCAGAGACACAGAGTAACTTGACTATAATAAAAAGGTAACATTTCTGTACTTGAACTGAAAAGTTGACACTGGAAGAGGTCACTGAAGGACCTCATAAACCTTCTGTCCTTGGAAATCTTTACAAAAAAAGCAAGACACACTTATTCAGAGACAAACTTCTTGGATGCGGGATGTTGAACTAGGTAACTTCTTAATATCCTTTGCAAATTTGTAATACTTAAATTAAGCACTCTACTAAGAAAGTGATGTCTAAAGTCACAGAAATTATGTAAGGGGCCACCCATTCCAGTCAAGTCATAGATAAATATTTCAAATAGGATAATTAAAAAAATTACATTTGGCCTTTGAAGGCATAATTAAACTTGGGGATTGTATGGTATGCCATCTTATTTTAGCTTGCGACTGAAAATAAAACTTGAGTCCCACAGCACATTTTGGTGTGTGAAAGGGGAAGTGCTAGGGAGTAGGGATGTCAGGTTAGGGTTTTATAATTGGCCAGACATAATATGCAAAATGTTCATAACATACAGACAATCGCACACTCAGGTAATGAAGATTCACCTCTAGTTCCTAGTCACTTGGTACTAAGTTAACCACTTACTCTAAAGATGCCAATCCAATCCTTTCGACGGGGAATGAAATGATCGGTGAGGGTGTAATAGCATGTGACATCCCCTCCAGGGACATAGAACTTCTCCACATTATTAAAGATGACCTGAGAGAAATGACAGTGATCCAGCAAGACAGCCGAAGTGGGGGGGTCCTCTAATGTGTCTTCCATGGTGGGGGTCCTGTTATGAGATATGGGATAGAATAAGGCTCAGAAAGGGTTTTATGAAATGCTGGAGATTTCTGGGCTCTCACCCAGGGAACATTCTGTTCTAGATAAGTCAGGAAAAACAAAAGCCTGACTAGTACTGAGATCATACACACAACTTGGTTTCTGTTTCACTTTGAGGCATTTTGCACGCATAACTTGCGAGGCTATAAAATTTTCTGAGAATATGTTTGACCTCTTTACCACAGGCACTGTCACCCTTACATACTCTTGTTCTCTGCTAATAGCTAGTTTGTTTCCCTACTTCTAAATGCCTTAAATAGGGTAGCCTAGAGGAAAATAACCTGAGCTGGGAATTGTAAGACCTAGATTCTAGATTTTTCATCCCAATAAGCCATGTGACTTTTGGAATGTCAATTTCTTTAGATTTCAGCATCTCTATTCAATTCCACTTACCTTATAATCATTAGGCCCTTCCATATATTAAGGCGCTCTGCTAGGAGCAGGGGATGGGTGCAGGAAGAAAGACAGGGATGAGAGACGGAGGCTACTTGACATGTAGTGGTGAAAGCATGGGTTCTGAAATCAGAATGGTGGAGTTCAAATCCAACTTCACCACCTCTTCAATGCATGGGCGATTTACTTGGGCAATTTACTTGATCAACCCGGCTCTATATGTTTCCTCATCTGTAAAATGAGGCTAATAACATTTACTTCATTTGTTTTTTTGTGAGCATAATGTAAATAATGTAAAGTGTCTAGTCCTTAAATCCTTGCCACAGAGCAGGCACATCATACAAAATAGACACATGTATGACATCAGGATAAAGTCCTTAGCACAGAGTCTGCACAAAGAAAGGGTTTAACAGATCTTAGCATTTATTACTGTTGTTGTAGTTTTATTTCTTTGGCATAGTCTTTGCCCTCAAAGGGTCCCAATCCAATATGAAGGTTAGATGAATAAACAAGTGACTGCCAAATGGATGTAATAGTGCAAAATGCTCTTGGGTTCAAAAGAGGGAGAGGTACTACTGGTAAGGAACATGAAGAAAAGCTTTGGGTAAGTGAGCAGAATCTTAGGTAAACCCCTCAAGGAAGATTAGGATTTTGACAAGTAAGTTAGGGGTGAGGAAATTCTAGGTGAATGAAACACCATGCATAAAAGCAAAGAAAACAGAAAAATGCAGCCCATGTTTGCAGGACAGCAAGCACGTTTGGATCGCTATCTATAAAATGGAGATAACAACCTGTATTTCACCTTTCTAGGTCACAGTATAGATAAAATGTGATCAAGGACGGGAAGTTATTTGGGCGGTAAAAACAATACTTAAAAGAATGAAGTCATCTGGATTGTTGAGACCTGAGACTTCTGGCCCCTCAAAAGTCACATGCCCTGTCTTCTAAATGCCTCCCTGGTCTACCATTTAGTGAGCCCATGGTTCTCAACCCAGAATTCTGGGAAATGAAAACAATATTGCAGCGCTACGCAGCAGATTGAGAAAGAGCTGTACATGTGCAAGCACCACATGATACCTTACAAAGTCAGCTGTTGGAGCATGTTGGAAGATTATATGCACACATACACATAATTTAAAAAAATAAGTAAGTACAATAATAAAAAACCACAGTAGCTCTTCTAGCCCTGCCCCACCTTACTTATTTCCTGGTTTTATTTTGAACTCTAAGCAACCAGGCCTCTTCTTCCAACTCCCCCAGAAGTCCGTTTTTTCCAGAGAAGGCCAACGGGACTTTGAGGCACTGAGCTACCTATTCTTGGGATTGAGTTTAGGAACTGAAAAGAAAAAATGCATTGGCTTTCTGGTTTGTGACACAGTTTAACCACATCCTCAACCTCAAACCTCAGATCAGTTTTTCTAAGGAAGAGAGAGCTCACATTGCAGTCTTGGTCAGACTTGTTTCTTATGATAAGCTGTTGCCTGTGTGAGCTCTTAGATGTTATGGGAGGGTGGGCAGGAGGCCTCTCGGCCTTCAGGTCCGTTTTCCCTAGTGGTCTCCAGTCATACTGAGGCCAGCATATCCTCTCTGTCCTAAGCCTGGGGCACCTTCTCTCTGAGCATATAAAATGACTTAATCCGTCCTTTGACTACAGATCTGAAAAACGTGTAAGAGTGACTTCAGGGCCTGTCTCAATTAACCTAAATACCACACCCCCTGTTCTTCCGTCATTACATTATCCACCATACACGACATAATGCCTAGCCCCTAGTAATTGCTGACTGAGTCACTGAATAAATGAATGAATGTGCATGTAACTCATCAAAAAATTAAAGGAAAGGGTTTTGTAGGTAAACAATGGTATGCATGATGGTGGGGCTAATTCGTTTTAGGCCTGCTCTTAATTTGCTGGTACTCTTGGAGGAGCTGCGGGTTTTGGGCTTTCTCTTTTCTAAAATAGAGTGAGGAGATGATAATCTCCAAATGCTCTGTCAATTCTTGGTATAGCTGGTTCAGCTGGCAGAGCTGGTTCATGGTGCCAAAAAAACAAAAGGTACAGATTTGATTTCCTTAAGGACCCATAAAATTCACACTCCATTACCCACCTTTCACACACTCAAACTCTGGCAAGCTGCTTTGCAAATGGAGGCTACTGTGAAAGGCAAGACCAGCCAAGGGTATGGGGGCTTGGTATAGCCCCTCTTTCTTTACTAGAATAACAATCTATACGTTAGCTCATGATCAGGACACTGAAGAAAGGCCAGCATATATATTCAAAATGACTTGGAAGAGCTCATGTCAAGACTTGAGTGTATAGCCTGTGGAAACTATCTCTTTTCATTCACCTGAAAACCTAATCATCTGTCTGGAAAAGTCAACAGTCTTTGTTCCTTGCTTATCAAAAATGTAAGCGACTCCATGAAGTTTCCAATTTCAGAGATCTCATCACCCTCCCAAGACTCAGAGGGCACCCAGTGGCACTCTGGGTATTCGGAACTCAATCATTCTTGAAATAAAAACTCCTCTGCCAGGACTGGGAAGGAAGGTGAGGAGGCAGGCAGAGCGGAGAACAGCAGTGGCTTCCCCAGTCTGCTTCTTAGCAAAGCTGAGGATGAAAAAGGCAAACCTAGAGCATAATCATGCCAACCTGAACTGGGTCAGTGAGGAGGTATCTCATTTGACTTTTCCTGGAAGGAAGGTTATCTATTGATTTTTTGTTTGTTTGTTTGTTTGTTTTTAGCTGAGCCATCCTGCTACCTGTTGGCAGCTCAGCGGCTGCTCAGCTCGGGCTGGACTCGAACTGCTGTTGCTCAGAGCTCAAACTCTTGAGCGAGCTCTTAACCAACTGAGCCACTCGGCCGGCCCTTATCTATTGATTTTTAAGGTCAGTGATCCTTAAAGCCTTCCCTCCCTCCCAGTGATAAAACTCCCTGGGAGAAATGGGACACGACCTTTCTGACAAAGCAGTCTAGAAATGACTTTTGTGCAGGAAGGCAGGGAGGATGTAGGAGGAAAATTAGAATGACTTAAGCATCAACTTCCCCTTTATCCACTCTTCCCACTATAGAACCTGTCCACCATCTCCTTCTAATTCTGGCAATATCCATAGAGGCAAGGAAGGGAGAAGAAATAGAAGAAGAGCAAAAGTTAAATGTAGAAGCCCAGAGAGCTACTGAGTCAAGAAAAAGCAGTGGGGTGAATTAGGCCCCCTGGAAACTGTGGAATGGTATTCCACCTAATTCCTTACTCTTACTCTCAAGTCAGAGACTGGCCATATAAGGAGTGACCAGGGGAAAACAAATAGAGATTTTAAAAAACAAACCATCAAGCACGGAAAACAATGCAGATTCCACAAACGGTCACAGGCCCTTTACTTGGACTCTGATATTGCTGTTACTTTTGTTTTTTTTTCAGCTCAGTTTCCAAAAGGATTAGAGTCCTCAGAGGTAGGCAATAATAGGCAATGTATTTTAAAATAAGTCCCCTGAACTGGCTTGTGGCTTCTAAGAAAATCTGACACATTTTCATCTAATGAGCTTTTCAAGCCTAATATACTACTCCCAGGACTGTTCTATAAAGGCATAGATTCTCTTATGTGCTCCTGATGAAAAGGAACGACAGCAAGTTCCACTTCTGCTCATTCTGAGTGAATCTTTAAACTACACTGGTAGGCTTTTTAGCAGAAAAAAATTTTAATATTGTAAAGCTTCCTGGTTCCTAACAATGAGCTTCTAGATCCTAACAATGCAAATATTCAACCCAATCAACTCACTAATTTTCCTAAACATTTTTTCCTCATGTATGCTGAACCATGAAGAAGAAATAACTATGAAAAATTACTAAAATTCTACCTTAAAGGAGGTCCAAGATTTTTACATTAGCCTTTTATAGCAGTGGGCACGTTTCAAGAGGAAATAAAGGCTACAGGTAGTTTCTCTGGATTAGTTCACAGAAGGAAACCAAATGCTTCCACGGCCAAGAGAGAAATAAATGCAAATCAAGTCTTCCTTTGGGAACAGTAAAAACAAAGATAAGTAAAAACCAAATCCACATCAATCTAATTCCTTCATCCTTTTGCTTACTTAACTTCCTAAACTATTAGCAATTAGCAAATGAATGAACTGACTTGAGTCCCTCTCCTCCCTGGCCCAGGAAGAGATGCTTACACAGAACTACACTTAAGAGAAGACTGACAATGGATACACGGAGTCTCTAGCTGGCCTGAGACAGGCAGGAAAAGCAAAGACGCACAGTCACTGGTCCTCAAATTACTAAGCCATTTGCTCTAATTCAAATTTCCCAAGTTCACTCTAGTTCCTTACATAAAATCTTTCAGAGTGCCTCAGAAAAATGTTACACCCCCAGGAAGCTTTAAATACTACCCATGACCATGACCGACTATTTGGACTGGCTGTCCAGCTTGTTCTAAGCAGGCCCTCATCCCACACCCCACACCACCACAGCGCCAGCAGTACTTGGGGAGAACAAACAGTTCTGGGACACGAGAACGCAGGCAACCGAAGAAACTGTGGAAAGCTCAAAGCTGCACACTAAATCTTCATTTTACTCTACTGAGATTTTACACTTTTTCCTTGAAAGGGGTTGACTGTGCTAACCCCTGAAGTGACAAGGGTAGTGATAGCGTTTGGAGTGTGGTGGACACAGGACGAGATAACGAGCCAAGGGACCTGGGTTCCTGTCTTAGTTCTGCCACTAACAAGCTCTGAGATCTTGGCCAAGTCACACTACCTCCTTTTAAGTCCTCAGTTTCCTCATCCGTAAAATGCATGGATTAGGCTAGAAAATTTCTAAGAAACTTTCCACGTATAATGATGATCCTAAGGGAAAGAAAAAGGAAGTAAAAGAGTTCACTTTAACTGTCTCTGTTTTCATCTACGAAAATAAGGAAGCGAGGCATTACATCAATAAGCACAACATTTTTAAAGAGCCCTAGATACACTATCTGACTCGAAAGCCAATACGAGTTATTAGTGCTACAGAACTCTTACTGACCACCTTTCTCAGGGTCCTTTCCACTCCACAGCTGTCATGTCTGCTAAAGGGTAGAGTTTCAGGTAGAGGCCCTCTGAAAACACCTGTGACAGTGAGTTACCTGGGTGGTTCTTAATCATGGGTTGTACATTATCTACAAAGACCTACTACATAAAAGGTCCTTTGCTTTAAACAGTTTTTGCAATAATGGAGAAAAGTTACAATATACAGCAGGTCCTCGAATAACACTGCTTTCTTCAACATCATTTAGTTCTAACGTTGATGAGATGCTGTAGGAGCATAACTCTATATCAATTAGCCTATGATAAAACTGGTTTGCTTATAGGTTATTTAGCTTAAAATCGCAAAACCCATGACCACGTTAAGTGAGGACTTACTGTATAACATCTGTATTATTCTACTCAGCTCCAAGCATGGCCACTTGTTGTCTTGCCTCAGGAGCCAAGAACCCAAGTGATAGAAAAAAGTTAACATGCCCAGGAGAGGTTGAAATCATGTGACTGGGAACATTAGCCCCCAAACTAAATTGGCCTGATGGTGGCGGTGGGAGGGGCTACGGCAGATGACTGTAAAGAAGCAGGTCACTACACGCCAGCTGCTCTCTTCTCGGCTGCCTAGAACACCTCCTCCAATTACAGAGGCCTCGTCTGAAGGAAAGGGGGCTTCAGAGATCAAGCCTACTCAGACAGGGAAAAAGAGGCCCAAAGAGAAAGTAACTTGCCTGGGGTGACAGGGCAGGGCCCCCTCTCCAACTCGAAGCAAAGGGCGATGATGTCAAAGACAGGGATTAAGAAACCACCAGGACCTCGGCCCGCGGGAGGGGGCATGGTGCTGTGACGTCAAGACCCTCGCTCCGGTCCCAGGGAGTCCCTCTCACCCAGCCACAAACACTGAAGCCTCGCCCTCCTCGAGCGAAAACTGCCCCTCAACCTTTCAAGGCCGCGGAAGGGGTTCCAGTGGGTCCATGACGCCACTCCCTCTTGCTCTCACCCTACAAAGATGGAAAAGGGTGAAAACCGAAACCGACCACACCTCTACCGCCCATAGTTCTTTTCCAGGACTGAAGTCTGATTTGGGGGCACCCGAGGGCCCAGTTGCCACTAACTGCCCTACTTCATGAACTCCAGAGACTCACCAGGGACAGCAGCCGGTGGCGACGCAACTGCAACACCGCAGGGCAGGGGACCTGGGTAGAGCCAAAAACCCCTGGGAGAGCAGATCCCGTCTGACCCCGCCTATACGTCATAACGGTCAACGAGCCCCGCCCCCACCGCGGTGGTTGCTGGGACTTGTAGTGTTCGGTGACGTGGGCCCCCGAGACCCTCAGCTAGCTGCCCTTTATGGTTTTCCCCAGTCCGGAGCAGCGATCTCACCCCAAAGAGCCTATTTCTTCCCCTAGAACAAGCTGTTTACTTACCTTAAAAAACAAAACAAAAAACAACTTTATTTCTTTCAATTTTGAATGAGAAAGCTCCATACTTTTGAAGGGCCACTGAGCGGTCATGGGCATTTTTCTCCTGCTTCCACATAACACTTCACTAAGAGTCTTATAGATGAGACTCCCTTTGGCGTTTAAACATGCCTCCCACCTGCCCCTAACGGCGACCCAGAAATCTCCTTGGGTGCCTCAGATTTTGTGTTTCATCATTCCCTTTCTATGAAAAAAATTCTTCTTTGGCTTTAATGCTGTCAAGGTAGTAGTGCTCTTCCTAACTGCAGTAAGAACTCAGTAAAAGTCCTAATAAGTCAGTTTAGAGGGCATACCCCATCCTTGATATCTGAACAATCCTTGGCCTGCCTTCAGCAAGAATCTGAAGTTGGTTTAGCAAGAATCCCCCTAACCTTGATGTCTCCTTTTAGTAATTTCCCATCCACTTGTCCTTATTGTATTTGGAGTTCAGCATAATCTCTCTCCCCTATTATAATGTCTTTATTGCAATAGTTCTGGATAAAGTCTTTCTTACCATTTTCACAAGTGTCAGAATAATTATTTCTTTAACACTGCACATGCTATCAATGGAAGGTTAAATCCAGAAGTGCCCCCTCTCCACAAAGTAGCATCTGTCTAAATCTGGAAAGGAATTTTCTATGCCATCTAACCAGAGAATTTATGACCCTGAAGCCCCTTTAGGTTTCAGGCAGGAAATTGAGTATCCCTAATTCCGTCTTCTCACGAGACTGGTGGCATTTAACTGAGATGAATGGATGGTGGGAAATGATGACAAACCCAGGGAGTGGGCTTCTGTTGAGAATTCAAATCACTTGAGCTACCAAAATAATACTCTTCCATTTTAAACTCTGTCTTCAGGGATAAGTGCTGTCAGTATCCTGAATACATTTTGCTTAATTTTATTTACTAGCTTTTTAAAAAGCATGGAGAACTGACACCTCCTATATCCACACAGCTTACTGTCTACATTAACATGACAACTATTTCATGACACTTTTTCCTGGAAATTAAAAATGCAAATAAATCCATTGTTCATTTCAGAACCGTCCTAAGAGAACCATCAACTCTTTCATAGAAAGCATCACATGACGGTTCTGTACACTCTAAGACTTAGAATCCCTGGTCTCAAAATCCTTGCTTTGCTGTGTCCACCAACCCTAACCTACTAATATTATATCATGAACTTACCCAATTGTCATCAACCCCTGCCTTGCCCCCAAGGCAAACTTCAAGGTCTCAGTCAATACCAACCGCTACTTTGTCCTGCCACCTCTCAGCCATTCCTACAACTCTGTCAAGGTAGTATTCTTCCTCACTGCAGTAAGAATAAATTCAGTTTTGTCTTACCGACAGCTTGTTTTGTTGATATTTTGGGGAGCTAAATTTGACAGCATAAAGTAAAAAAAAGATTAATTAGTTTGATTTATTTCCAATAGAAGTGTCAAGGGAAGGCTGTAAGTACAACCTTTTATTACTGGATATTGAAGGGATGGGACTTGACATTTAGACTTACAGAGAAAATCTTCAAGTGCTAGGTATGGAAGCAAACAAAGGCTGGGGGTAGGGGTAGTTACTCTGTGCCTGACACAGTAGATTACTTCATTTAATCTTTCCAAGGGAAGCACTTTTATTATCTTCATTTGACAGATAAGAAAATAGTGGCTTACAGACATAAAGTTACTTGCCCAAACTCATACAGCTAGCAAGTAGCATTCATCAGAAGACTTTGAACCCAACATTCTGACTCATACTTTTTATGAGAGTTCAAATAATCCAGAAGGGAAGACAAACGCATAAATAAGTATATCACATGATATTGGCTTTAGAAGAGGAATTTACACAGTGCTAAGATGGCACAGAATTAATTTTTTCTAGGGGAAAGAAGGAAGGTTTCATAATAGAGGTGTTAAAGAAAAAATTATGCTGAAGCTTATTAGAATGGTAAGAAAGACTTTATTCAGGGTTATTGCAATAGGAACATTATAATAAGGGAGAAAGAGATTGTGTTCAACTCCAAATACAATAAGAACAAGTGGAGACTTACAGCCATCTAACAGAGTGAGGGGGTCAGTGGATGAAAAATTACCAAGAGGAGACATCAGGGGGAGGAGGACTCTTACTAATCTGACTTAATAGGATTGTTGCTGAAGGCCGGATGGGGATTGATCAGATTTCGTGGGTGGAGCAGTCTCTCTAAACTAATAATTTTTACTAATACTGGACTTGGCAAGGACAGAAGCCCAACTCTGAGGCCTAGACAAGAAAAGGGCTCAGAGGAGCCTAACTAAAGTTTGGTCAAAGAGAGAGTCTTTGTGAGAGGTGACATTTGTTTTATTTGAATAACAATCTTGGCAGGCAAAAAAAGGAGTGGGAGAGAAATTGGAGATGAAGGGAGGGAGTGCTCCCCTACAGCCGTGCTGTCCAGTAAGTAGAATTCTCTGCAGTGATGGACATGTTCAATATCTGCGCTATCTGATCTGATATCCACTAACATATGTGGCTATTGAGCCCTGGACATGTGGTTATTGCAGCTGGGAACTGGATATTTATATAATTTAAATTTAAATTATATTTTAAATTACAGTATGTAATCACTGTGTTGGCTGGTGCAGCTCTACAACAACTGGAATGTGGACTCTGGGAAGAAGGAGAAGCGGGAGGCAGACTAGGAGAAAGGACCCAAGCAGCAGTTGCTACTTTCACCTTTGCCCTCAGCTCTAGCCCTGCCCAGTCCTGCCCAGCAGCAGTCACTCTGGCCTTCGGACCCTCAACTCCATGGAAAAAGAAGGTGAAAGGAAGTTCATCCCTGAAGCTTGCTGTTTCTGTAACCACCTAGGACTGTGCAATTTGATGACTTACAAAGTCCAGATAGTTTCTACGCCCATTGGAGAAAGAAGAGGTTTAAATAATCAATGGAAAGAAGGAAACTACTATTTAGCTTGAGATACTATTGGGCTTTTACGTGTAGGCAGGTCAAGTATGGTGTTTTATAAACGTCAAGAAAAACAGGAGCAGGCCGGCTGAGTGGCTCAATTGATGAAGAGTGCAAGCTCTGAGCCGGCCCAGTGGTTCAGTTGGTTAAGAGCTCGCTCAAGAGTTTGAACTCTGAGCAACAGCAGTTCGATGCCCGGCCCGAGCTGAGCTGTTGCTGAGCTGCCAACAGGTGGCAGGATGGCTCAGCTAAAAAAAAAAATTAAAAAAAAATAAGAATGCAAGCTCTGAGCAACAAGGTTGCCGGTTTGATTCCCACTTAGGCCAGTGAGCTGTGCCCGAGTTGAGCTGCCACTGAGCTGCCAACAGGTGGCAGGGTGGCTCAGCTGGTGAGAACATGTGCTCCTAACAACAAAGTTGCCGGTTCAACTCCTGCATAGGATGGTGGGCAACTAAGAGTAAACATGGCACCTTAATCTGAGCTGCTGCCAGCTGCCAACAGGCGGCCAGATGGTGAGCTAGCGGCACCTTCCACAACTAAGATTGAAGGACAACAACTTGGCTGTTCCCCTTCCCCAATTCCCCAATAAAAATCTTAAAAAAAAAAGAAAGAAAGAAAAACAGGAGCCAGGTATGCCTCACATTAACCAATGAATATTTGTTATTCATTAAACAATTTTTAAAATACTTCTTTGTAAGTCTGGACTTGACTATGTATTACTATTTTTACCATAAAGGATACCAATGTGTAAGGAAGAGGACTCCATATCATATACCCATTTCATACACATATATATTGTTTGACCCACCAAAAATAAGTGTTAGTGGGACACGGATGCTCTAAGGGCTTTTAAGAAAAATAAAAAGGCAAATGGCCAGATGACAGACTGTGTGTTTCCAAAACGGTGGCAGCAGTGGATGTGGGTACCTGACCCACACTAACAGCGGCATGGGCAAGAAACGCTTTGAAGTAAAAAAGTGGGATGCAGTAGCCCTGTGGGCTTGGGATATTGTGGTTAATAACTGTGCCATCTGCAGGATCTACATTATGGATCTTTGCATAGACTGTCAAGCTAACCAGGTGTCTGCTACTTCTGAAGAGTGCATCGTTGCATGGAGTCTGTAACCATGCTTTTCACTTCCATGGCATCTCTCGCTGGCTCAAAACACGGCAGGTGTGTCTGCAGGACAACAGAGAGTGGGAATTCCAAAAGTATGGGCACTAGCAAAAGAATTCTTCCATCAAGCTCAACTGTTTTGTTTTTTGCTTAATGACTTGCCCTCCTGTTATTTAATTATAAGATAGATAGAACTGTGGGGTTTTTTTTTTCTTGGTCTTTTCAGTTTGCTATTCAGTTTGTATACCAATATGATCGCTATACATTGCAGTCATATTGTATTCTTTATCAAATAAAATCCAGTTGGATTCTAGAAAAAAATAAAATAAAATAAAAAGGCAACTTTGACTGCAGAAGATCCTTTTGCTATATGTTGATGTATTAGTGCATGTGTCTATGTGTCTCCCATGGCAACCAGCAAACCGCTTTGCATGTAGGAAGTGCTCAAGTTGTGTGCCTGTTACCTTTCCCTATAGTCAGAGCACTTTCTATGGAACTTATTTCTAAGAGCCATCCACACTAAGAAGACGATGCCCTGAAAACAATCATGAACAGCTCCGTTCAGGGAAAACTGTTTTCCCCAGAAGGCAAAGGGAAGATGAGGGACAGGATAAAAACAGAAACCTGGAAGCTCCATTGCTCATGGCCAAGCAGCCCCATTAAATACATGTCAAAACAGAGAACTCAAAAGAGGTGCCAGGCAGCTCTGAATCCACTACAAGGACTTGGCCATGCCACCACATTTTTCTGGGCCCCACTTTCCTCATCTGAAAACAAGAGAAATGCCAGGGAGTCTCTAAGATCTATTTTGATTTAACAAGAATCCTGATTCTGATTATACACACTTCTACAACATTCCCTCGTACATTGCAGACTTAAAACAAACAAACAAAATATTCTAAGCACCTTTGCTTCATTTCTGTCCCCTACCGCATTCCTGGTACATATACCAAGACTTTTTTTTTGGCTTCCAGGAGGGACCTTGCTTCTGGGGAGCAGAAGCAGGACTCTTTTTTTTTTTTTTCATTAACAAGTTAAAGGAAGAGTGTCCCCCACAGTGCCCAGTTTCCCAAACTGAGAAATAGAGTCTGGGTGTCAACTGTAAAGCAAACAACCTTCTGAGGGTTTTATTGTCTTACTATTTAGACAGGTGGGTGTCTAAGGAACAAAAACACAGGGAAAACAACAGTTTCAGACCTGCCCCCTCACCCCCACCCGCATACTCTTGCCTCTGAGTTGGAGCTCAGAGGGGTACACAGGCCAAGTGTTTTGATGCCTGAAAGGACCCTCCAACACATCACTTCAGTCTTTCACATCCAGGTTCAAAAATCTCTCAGTTCTGCCATGTGGAGTTTCCTGTTTCTGGTTTACCTGACACAATTCACAAATGCTCTCTGATTTCTTGGCTATTTCTCTCTGGCCCTGGGAGGATGCCTGATTGGGGTGGGGGGGTCAAGCCTGCTTTGCTCTACAGTGGGGGCAGCTCTACTGTTCACCCTGTGTTTGTTCCTGTCATCACCCTTGAAAGGACAGCGGTGCCAGGCTCTGGCCTATTAAATCCCACTACATCCAGCCCTCTCATAAATAACCAGTTGCCAGGGACTTTAATGGAAACCCTCTGGAAACTGTAAATCTTTGCTGCTCCCTCCTGCACCCTCTTCCTCATTTCCATCACAATGTCACTCCAGAGGGATCTGAGACCAAAGCATGAGCTTAGCAGAGCAGATTGGTAGGACACTAGGGAAAGAAAGAGGCGGGATGGGGGAGGAGAACAGAGCAGGGACAGTTGGTCTTAGGGAAGCATCTGCTGGATGGCCAGTTGATGATGGTCACCTGGGCCCCCAGGGCCCTGGAGAGGGGGAGGGGCAAGATAGCCCAGGGCCACCTGGAGGAAAGAGAGAAGAGGAAAGAAGACAGGATAGCAGAGGTTCCTGGAAGAGCAGCAGATGGGTCGCTGGTTCCATCTCCTGCTCTTTAGGGTGAATTGAAGCACCACGTAGCTGGCTTCTAGTGTCTGCCTGGGGTAAGCCATGCTTTTGCTTTTAGCCTCTGGCCTGGGCAGATCAGCAGGTAAAGGGGCAGTGTCCTGTGTTAGGAGGAAAATTTTTCCTCTACCAACTTACTTCCAAAAAGTAACAGAGTTTATTCATATGCATATGAGAGCACTTAGTAGTGAGTAACTCCCCAAGTAGCTAGGGATAAAGGGTTTATATGTCAGCTTAATAAGGTGGGGGGAGGGGGCAGTTAGGGCTTCAACGGATGGAAGGCTCTGAGACTTGTTTACACTATTTTTTTGGAAGGTCAATGTGTTCAAGGAGGAGCATTCCTTACTGGAGATCTCCCTGGGGGGTGGGGGTTGTGACAGCTGACTCTCATAAAGCTCTGCTTTATTCAAATAAGGGAAATTCAGATAAGTGTTCTTTCTGCATCTGTTGTAGCTGAAATGTTTTCACTTCGAAGTGAAAACCATCCTGGAGGGTTCTTTCAGCCCCTTCAGCTGCACTCACCGACACAGTGTTCCCACTGAATGTTCTTACATCCTCTAGGAAACGTTTCTGGATGAATTCCAACGTGCTCCATCTCAGAGATGTGGATCTTGCCTCTAGCATGAGTCCTTTTGACCAGAGGTTTTCTGAGAAGGGTTACACAGGCAATAATATGCCTGAGATCTTGATTTGGCCCTCAATCCAATGCTCTCTGCTTGGCGCCTCCTGCTCCTGGTTTTGGATGTCTACCCTCCCTCCCAGAGGGCCTAAGAACAAGGTGCCCCCCCACCCCCACCCCAGCGCAGCTGGAGCTCGGGAGCTAGACGGTTCGGACCCGAACCTGCGTGGGGCGCAGGGATGGTGCGGACACCGGTGAACGCGGGCGGGGATGCAGGGAGGGGCGGGGACCAGCGGAGGGCGAGCGGTAGCCTGGCCCCGCGCGCCGGGAGCGCCGCCCAGCGTCGAAGGAGTCTCCCGGGACAACCTCGGGCGCTTCCCTCTCAGAGCACAGGGACGGTTAATGGGAATGGGGAGGGAGCGGGGCAATGGCAGCCCACCGCAGGGGCCAATCGAAGGCCTGGAAAGCCCTATATGCAAATATCAGGTCCCGGAGGACCCCAAGGTAGGAAGAGCGCGGGTTAGGGTTAGGGGTTGTCTGGCAGCTAATGGGAGCGTGTCTCAATCCTTCCAGGAGGGGGTCCGCAATTGTGGTAGCGAGCGAGACCATCAGCGGAGTCGGGGCGAGACTGGGGAGTAGGAATCGCGGGTAAGAGCTCCCCAAAGCCCGGTGCTGGCGCCAGATCGCGGCCTCCGAGTGCCTCTCCACTGCTGGTTCTACACGCCCCTGATGTTCCCCACGGGGCCCAGTTTCCCAGGGCTACCCCTCTGCCCTCCCTGGTGGCATTCTAGGGCTAAAGCCACTCACCTTCACAGCCCCTGCTCCCCCTCGGCTCCGAGGCCCTTCTCTTCTCAACGAGTGCCGGTAACGCTCGCTCTCCTCCCTGCCCGGTACTCGAGCTCACTGCTAAAATACCCTCACTCCCTTTTCTCACCCGCAAGACCCGATGCCAGGACCTTGCCCACACACCGACCCTCCTTTTCCCAGCTCCATTAGCTCTCCTGTCCTCACATCTCTCCCGAACCCGGGTCTCTCTCCGGGGGCACCCTCACTTCCCGCCCGCCCTCGATTTCTCGATTTCCCAAACCCGGTGCCCCCAGGGAGCCTGCTGTTCCTTAGATACCAGAGATCCTTGGGAATCACACAACTCTCTCTCTGCCTCTTTCCCCATCATTGCATCTTTCTCTTGATCACCTTTTTTTCTTTTGCCTGGAGAAACCTTCTAGAAAGACACTTCTGTTTTTTCATGGCCAGCACACCCCTCTGCAAATATCCCTACCCTCTTTACCCCTCTTCTTTTACTTCCAGTTGTTATTTCTCACCCTCCTGAAGGAAAACTCTTTTAGGCTTGAGGAAAGTTCTCCTTTGGGATTTGAGCCCTAGGAAAAATGTAACTTACATTTGGGGACAGCATGGAAAAGCGAGCTAACATTTACTACGCACTAGCATGTGGCAAGCACTTCAGTAAATTGTTTAATATGTACACCGGTCCTACCATTATATTTTCATCTTACAAAAAAAGCCCTCATTTTGAACCAAGCAGTGCTTTAAGAGCATTGGAAATATTAACTCATTTAATTTTTGTAATAACCCCATGAGATGAATATTATTATCCTCATCTTATTTATGAGGAAACTGAGGCACAAAGAGGCTCAGTTCACCACCCACAGTCACCATTCTAGTAAGGAGTAGAGCTGGGCTGGGTCCAGACCCACCTGTCTTTGCTAGGAATGCACTGAGTATTGTGGAGAAAATGGCTGGGCGTGAGCTTGCCCTGAAAATTGCTTCCTCCAGTCTTGTGGAATTCCTCAATTTCTAGCAGAATAAAAGATGGCATCTGAGTCCGCAGGATTCTTATTGTTCCCAGTGAATGTGGCCGGTCATTCTCAGCGTTTCTTTTATTTTTTTAAATTAATTCATTTATTTTAAAATTATAGTTGACATACACTACTATATTAGTTTCAGGTGTACAGCATAGTGATTTGACATTTGTATATCTTACGAGGCAATCACCATGATAGATCCAGTACCCATCTGCCACCATACATAGTTATTCCATTATTGACTATATTCCCCATGCTGTACATTACTCAGCATTTCTTAGTGGCAAAGCCCTTGAGCAGTTGAGTGCCCGCATCCCTCCCTTGTTTTAGCCCAGTTTTGCTACTGACTCCATTCAGCCCCTGCACTGAAATTCAAAGGGTGGCTAGAATGAAAAGCCAAACAGCCATAAAAAAGCATCTTATTGTATCCTCAAAGCTCTTTTCTAGATATGACGCTTTTAATCTTCTTGGTGATCCTCTAATCACAGAGAAGATAAGGAATGAGGGAGGAGATAATTACAGGAGTCCCCTCTTATTCACAGGGGATACGTTCCAAGACCCCCAGTGGATGCCTGAAACCACAGATAGTATCAAACGCTATATATACTATGTTTTTCCCTATGCATACATACTTTTGATAAAATTTAATTTATAAATTAGACACAGTAAGAGATTACCAACTAATAGAATAATTATAACAATATACTGTAATAAAAGTTATATGAATGTGGCCTCTTTCTCTCTCTCTTGTACTACTGTATTCACCCTTCTTGTAAGGATGTGAGATGATAAAAGGCCTACGTGATGAGATGAAGTGAGATGAATGACATAGGCATTGTGACATAGCATTAGGCCACTATCGACTGATGATAAGTTAGAAAGAGGATCATTTGCTTTGGGTGATCCTGGATCATTGAGCAATGACAGTGTCGATGGTTGGATGTCAGAAGCACATGATGTGGTTGTTTGGGGAAATTTACTATTTTTGGACTTTGGTTGACCATGGAAAGCAAAACCGCAAATAATGGGAGACCTATGTACTGGGCTTCTTAGTACATACTATATCAAAGAGGCAAAGTTGAAAGCAAGGTTGTAAACAGACCTCTTACCTCCACATCTTCCCTCCTCTCTCCATCCACTTCAACCTTTTCCAAGAGGTAGCCACCGGAAGCCTTCAGAGGGATGCTTTTAGCAGGGGAATGAGGACCAAAAGATGAAAAAGGGAAAGGAATGAAGGAAACCTATTATTGGAGAAAAGAAGGAAATCACAGGCAGATACAGTAGGAGAGCTCTTCAGTGCCATATGTATTCCTGCAGACTGAAAGAGAAGTCTAGGCTGTGAAGGTCAGGATGAAAAAACGTGGTTAAAACTTGAAACATGTCCCTCTGTTGTTCTTAATGAAATGATTCTTTCCTCCCATTTGCGGGACACCCGTTTTAATTCAGCCTTGCAAACGAAAGCACTAAACATTTTCTACCCTTCTGCAACACCTCTAGGGGCAAGAAGAGTAGTCAACACATGTAGTCCTTCAGAAGCAGAAATGAGTCACGGTCCCGCCGTTGAGATTTTCCAAATAACCTGCTGTGTGTTTGCCTGGAGCCATCCAGTGCTCATTCCTGCCCCCTGGTGGCCAGCGAAGGTCATTTTCATTCTGTCTAACCAGGATTTGGTTGGCAGCCTCTGGCTTGGAAGACCCCAAGATCAAACCCCATTCTACAATGAAATGAAAGGACACATCAGGGTTTTTTTCACTGTCTTAACTATCCTATTTGGAAAGGTGAACAGAATGTGTATGTGTCATTAAGAAAAGGTGGCATTTACCGTGTTTGTGACATTGGTAACCCAACGTAGTCTTTTTTTTTTTTTTTTAACTCCCCAAAGCACTTAATCCACATTGCCTGCCCACTGACCTGGCATGATGGAAAGATATGTTGAGAGGCAGAAAGCTGGGGTTCCTGTTCTGGCTCCACTGACTTGCTCTCTGGCTTTGTGCAAGTCAAAACCTCCTCTAAAAAGCAAACAGGTTGAACTAGACATTCTCCCAGCTGTAATATTCAGGGATTCCATGAGAGCTTAGAAAATGTTCTAATGAAACCCCAAATAAGAGCCCAGGTACAATGTGAATCTTGGTGAAAAGAAGGGAAAGAAACCGTGAAAATAAATACAAAGTAGAAACAATAAAGCTGTTCCCTGTTTATAGCCAGTTTGGGAGATCCAGGCCCTTCTTGGAGGTGGGAATTTAGAAGAGTTGGTTTTAAGGAAAATGATGTGGGACCAACTGATACTAAAGGGACTAAAGTCACCAAGACTGCTTCTGAGAGCGAGATCAGTTGCTTCAGTTTATGTTCATACCATTTATGGGTAATCAGAGAGGGAAAGGCAGTGGGTGGACCATGGAGGAGAGACAGACATGGCTCCTAGTCCCAGCTCTGCCTCTCACCTTACCCTCTCCATGCCTTAGTCTTCTCACCTGTAAAAGATTGAAAATAATATCTATGATATAGCATCAAGAGGGAGATAGTATGTATATAAAACGCTTTCCTATAATGCCTATTCCTTGATAAGTAGGTTGCAAATAGTAGCTGCTGTTATAAGTGAATGAAACTAAGTGTTTTAAGTGCCTGCTATATGACCTTTCATCGACTCAAGGTCGATGCTTTAAAAAATGTTATTTATTTAATGCTTGCAGCAACACTTCTATTATATAGATGAGGAAAATGAACCTTAGAAAGGCAAACTTAGTTCATGAATTTATTCCAGTCAGTTCACTCAAGAAGCATATGAACCTCTGCTATGTGTCAGATACTGTGGCAAGAGCTGAGAATTCACAGACATGGCCTCTCCCATCAGGGAATTCAGTCCGGGGCCCCCAGCTGATAATGATAGACAGCCTGTAGTGAGCACCTACTATGTGGCAGGCACTGTTCTAAGCTCATTGTATGACTCAAATGAATCAACTCATTTAATTCCCATAATTGGGACAAACCATTTTGCAGGAGTGAGGAAACTAAGGCAGAGGGAGGTTAAGTAAATCACCTGAGGCCCCACAAGTAGGAAGTGGCAGAGCTGGGATTTAAATCCAGGCAGACAGACTTCAGAGTCTGAGTTCTTAGCCATTTCACTACAGCTACCTCTTAGCAAGTGACTTAAAGTCACATCTCTGACTGCAGAGGCCTTTACACCAGGATATATGTGTATTTCTTCACTCTCTGTATTTTCCTTAGGCCTTTTCCTTTGAATCTATTGCCTTGCCTCCTTTGATTCCTTAAGGCTACCAGACTTCTTCTGGCCAAATCAGAAGGCAGGAGAGAAGGTAGGAACCCCCAGGTTAGCAGGGAGTAGTTGCTGAAGCTGGGAATGAAACGTCTGGTAGAGCCAAATGAGACCCACATCTGAAAAGACTTGAGTGGGTTCTGGCTTCAGCCAGGTCATATATAATTCTTGTTCTGAAAATGACGGCATTAAAATGTTTTTGTTTTCCTGGGGAAAGCAGCTTTTGTTCTAACTCATTGCTGCTTAGAGGCCAGAAATACACTAGAGGAGGATGGGTAAATTCAGATGTCTATGGGGCCAGGCATGTGGCCCCAATGAGAGACATGATGGGGCCAAACAAAAATATTCCTCTCTTAATGCTTCTATAAGGAAAACAACAGCACAAGGGTAACTGTCGCTTGACTCCTGTATCAGAGAGACAATAGGGCCTAGTAGGGACTGGGGCAGACTTGGAAAATGTCTAAAGAGGAAGCCATTTCTCGGCTCTGGTTGACTGCTGGCATGAAGCAATGGGGACCTACTTTTCTGAAAGGAATGGAAATCTGGATTTTTATGATAAAAGTCTACATTTTCTAGTTACTGGCAACTTCTTTTTTTTTTTTTTAAGATTTTTATTGGGGAATTGCAGGGATGGGAACAGAGCTGGGGAATTGGGGAAAGGGAACAGACAAGTTGCTCTCATTTTGTTCTTCAGTCTAGCTGTGGAGGACGTTGCTTCACTGGCCCAAGTTGGCACCATCATTGCGTTCTTCCTGGGCGAGGCAGATCAGTCACTGGCTTCTGGACGGCGGCTCACTCAGCTGCTGGCCGCTCACCCTGGCTGCTGGCTACACACGGTAGTAGCCCATGGCAACCTACTGCCACAGGGGCTGCAGCCTATGCCGTCGCCGGTGTCTCACAGCAACCCAGCTCCAGGTTGAGCTGTTGTTCAGCATCTTAGCTGTGGAGGGCAGTGTCACTGGCCCTCATACGTGGGATCCGAACCGGGGCCCTCCTGCGTCCCAAGCCAGTTCTTAACCATCGTGCCACTCGGCCGGCCCTTACTGGCAACTTCTATTTAACAACTATAACAACAACACACTACTGTGGGCCAAGTAAACATTTCTGCGGGCTAGATACAGGATGCAAGGTCCAGGAGGCAACCTGTGAGCAAGACAGTTTCTGGAGCCTTTGGAGAGAAGCCAGCAGGGTTTAGCTTCAGAGATGAAGCAGGAAGGAGAGGCCTGGGGGAAGGGAAAGCCAGGGGACCAAAGACAAAGCAAAAATAGTCACATGTGGCAATGACTGTTGTCTGCCATCTTGCACCTGTCTCAGGTGCCATCCAAGTGGCTCTTGTGTCATAGGAACCTAGACTATGGGGGAAAGCAGGTAAGAATGCTGTTGTGGACCAGTTCCTTTAAAAGTACATGGACTAAGTTCCTTGCTATATCTGCCTAAGGCCCTCTCTTGCAAGAGTAAACAGAATTTGACCATTTGTTGTTATGGTTTTCCGTCTTCTCTTTGACACAGACAAATAATAAGCAGCCATGACTTGTTCTTACTACTTGGGCAAGGACTCGAAAAAGGGCAAATAGAGCCTGGCAACTCCAGAGGCCAAATTCAGGGTCAGTTTTCTTTCCTCAAGTTAACATTAACCTTTAGGTAAACGGGCCACTCCTCCTCGAGGGCTTGGTACACAGGAGCCGTTGTAGAGGGTTAGGGGAGTGGAGTTGGCTGTTTACCTGGAAGGAAGGGAATAGCCCAAGGTCAAGATTTCATGTACTTTAGTCCTCTTGAACTTTGCCAAGAATGTGCCTGTTCACTGGGAAAAACTGACTCTCAAGGCCCAGGTTTCATCGGTTAGATGCACTGAGCACAACTCTTTCTCCTCCTGCTCAGGTGTCGCCATAAAGGGACTTGGGTGTAAGTAGCAGCCCTTGTCAACAAGACAGAAACAAGTGGCGATCCTTAGCTGACTTAATAATTGGGCATCCCTCTTGTGGGTGATTATGAGCATTCAGTGAGATGGTGTATGTGACAATTCTTTGAAAAGCCTAAAGAACTATACCCTCATAAGGGCTTATTATGAAATGATTCATAGGTAACCTCCAAGGTGGAGGGGTCCCCCAATTATGGTTTGGAAAAGGGCCAGAGAGAAGTGGAAGGGTGTGGTAATATTAAAAACGTGGCCGTAAGGTATAAAAGTTGTTGAGAATGAACACGTTTGGGTACAAAAGGGAGGTGATTCCTAAGAGACTGTGTGACTCTGGTGAGCCTGCTGTAGTTGCATATTGCTGGTGGTAGTCCAAATTGTTGGAAGTCCACTGGGAAACAATGTAGTGATATAAATAAATAAATAAGTAAAATCAGAAGCTATGTAGTTTTCATATTCATTAACCTAGTAATCCTGGTTCTGGATAAAGATCTTAAGAAAATAATCCTAAAGAAGTAATAGGCCTTCTTTCTATACATGAACGTGTGTAGAACTATTTATATTTATATTAGCAAATTGGAAGCAACTTACATTGTCAACAATAAGGCAAGGGTTGGTTAAATTCAGACACATTCCTTCAATGGGCTATTATTACACAACCATTAAAACCTAGAAATACATACACTTTGCCACGACTGAAAGGATGTTTATGATGTGATCTTAAGTGGGCAAAAAGCAGATACAAAATTATTTATTATGGTTATAATTATATAAAGTAATGCTTAGAAATTAAGAATAAAATAGAATACACAAAAGGGCCAAAGTTGCCAAAGTAAGGTAGAAAAGCTAAAGGTGTTTCCCACCCAACTCTTTCCTATGCTTCCTTTAATGGTATAGTATTTTAGTCATACTACTAAATTAGAAAAAAAAATGTAATAAAGATATTATGAACCTCTTTTTAAAAAGCCAAAGAGGGAAGAACAAGTAGAAAGTAGCAAGAGGACTACAAGCACCAAAAAAGAGGGACTGAAATGGTGAGGAGGTTGGCAGTGTTTTGGAGGTGAAGCGAGGCGGGGGGAGCACCAGAAAATTGGCTTTGTGGCCATGGAAGCCTTGGATGTGAAGGGGATATGATCAGTTAATTGGACCTGGGCAGCTCTGCATTATCCAGAGGCAAATGAAGCACATTCCTAAGGATTAATGAAGCAGGGGCATTAAAAACCATTTAAAAAATGATTTGATATTTGAAATTTCAAGCAAACATCAAAGAAGTCATCATGGGGGTGGAGGGATGAGAACTTTGCTGGACTTCCTTATAGGTATTTTACATTTGGTCATGGTTTTTTGTTTGTTTGTTTGTTTGTTTTGGAATTGAGTGGTCGGGAAGACACTATAGCCTTCTCTGAAGGTCTGCATCGGGCCCTGGGCTTGAATCTTCTTCAGTCAGCTGCCAGTCAGTCCTGTCCTCCGTAAGCACCAGTTGCTTCTTTCACTCTCAGTCCAGCAAATTGCCTGCGGGAAGCTTCTGAAGCTTCATGCAATTCTGAAACAGTTAACAGAGCTCCTCAAAGCACCTCATCTGCACCCACTGGGACGAACTCCCTCAGCTAGGAAGGTTCAGGGCTTGGTTCTGAGGCCGTCTCCAGACACTCACTCACTTTAATAATAAGATTGTTTACCAGATGTGCCATGCCTAGCACCTCAGCCAGCTCCTGAAAACCCCAGGAGGGAAAAACCAAGGCCAGGGTTGGCTGAGGGAGTCCTCAAGGTGGCAAAAGGTGGACTCCAGCTCCCTCCCGGAGCCTGCACCAACAGTGGAAATGGGGTGGCATTTTATAACTGCAACCTGTTGCCTGGTCTCAGAGCCCTCCCTGGTCGACCACCCCGGTGAGAAAGGGAGGGGGTCCCCCTGTAGGTGGACCCAAGTAACTGCTGCTTCCTCTGCCCTCTCTCCAGTGGGGGCCAGTATTTCCCCAGTCTCATCCTAGTCCCCTGGAGATGCTCCAGTGCCTGCCTTTGGAAGGTGAGGAAGGGACAGAGTCAGAAGGGAGGGAGAACAGTTCCATAGAAGACCTGAAAGAAATCGTCACCCTGGCTTTTGTGAGCGAGAACACTGGGGCGCAAGAGGGGCTTCCGAATGCCCAGCAGCAAGGCAAGAAGAAGAGGAAGAAAAAGAGGTTAGGATTGAAAGATGGGGAGCCGGGGTCTATGTTGATAAGAGCAGGGGGGACCTGGGAGGATGGAGGCCTTGGCTGCTAATGAGCGGGGCGGGGGGGGGGGGGGGGGAACTAACGAGACTGTCAAAAATCATGCCACTTTCGGTTCCTATAAAAAGAATCCGCTTTGGATGATCTGTTTTATAGAATCAAATAATGGTGTGTGTAATCTGAAACCGTATTTTGCCCTGATCTTCATTCTATTTGTTTAGAATGTCTTTTTTTGTTTGTTTTCATTGTATATGGCGGGTTAAGTTTCATGCAGCCCCACCTGGGACAGGATGTGTCTGTGTGCAGTCTCTTTTTCTGGCAGGTGTGTCTGTCTCTGTCTCGCTGCTTTCCTTTTTCTGTTTTCCAGATGATTGGTGATCAATCTATCCAGTTGCCGATATGAGAGTGGTGAGCATCTGCATTCAAGGGATCCACAGGGGGTATCCACTGGACTACCCCCAAAGTGTTGGGAAGGGTCATTCTTACATATGTTTGAGGATGAAAAGGGGTGTCTCCAAATACTGTTCTGTGCTTCTCCCAGCTCATTTAACTATTTGAGTAAGTTGGGAAACTCATTCCAAGAAAATTTGGGCTTGACCATAACAGTGTGTACTTCAGCTATCTATAGTTCTCGTGTATGGTTATTAGGGGACCTGATTGTAGAGAAGGCAGCTGTTGATGCAATCAATGGCTCTTTTTTTTTTAAGATTTTTATTGGGGAATTGGGGGGATGGGAACAGCGCTGGGGAATTGAAGAAGGGGAACAGACAAGTTGCTGTCGTTTTGGTCTTCAGTCTAGTTGTGGAGCACGTTGCTTCACTGGCCCAAGTTGGCACCATCATTGCGCTCTTTCTGGGTGAGGCAGATCAGTCACCGACTTCTGGACGGCCGCTCACAGGGGCTGCTGGCCGCTCACGCTGGCTGCTGGCAACATACGGTAGCCCATGGCAACCCACTGCCACAGGGGCTGCAGCCTACGCCGTCGCCAGCAACTCACAGCAGCCCAGCTCCAGGTTGAGCTGTCGTTCAGCATCTTAGCTGTGGAGGGCAGTGTCACTGGCCCTCATATGTGGGATCCGAACCGGGGCCCTCTGGCGTCCCAAGCGAGTNGGCAGTGTCACTGGCCCTCATATGTGGGATCCGAACCGGGGCCCTCTGGCGTCCCAAGCGAGTTCTTAACCATCGCGCCACTCGGCCGGCCCTCAATGGCTCTTTTTTAGAGTACGAGTTCCAAACTGGAAGTTCATGGGCTAAAGATGACCTACAGACCTTCTTTGTGCTACCAAGCAGAAAGTGGTTCTCATTATTTTAATTTCGAAGTTGGAAGCTTTAGTCTGGTCCTGACTCTCCTGGTTACTTACTGCAGGCACTTATTTTCCAGGCCCTTGAAGGCATTTAAGTTTGTGTTGGAATTAGCTCCCAGTTATCAATATTAACAGGGACAGGAGAAGAAGGATGTGATAGTGTATATGTCATTTTGAAATACATTGTATAAATATTTTTACCCATCAGTTTACCTTACTGATTAAGCTTGGCTCTAGCTGATGTTAAGGATTTAAGTTTATATTTCCTGAATATTTAGTGCTTAGTGTTTAGGGGAAAGCCAGAGGCCTACTTCCTGGCAAGGGGAAGCCAGGGCAGTTAAAACATTCACCCCAGATAACCTCCAATGGGGATTATTGGGCATATTTTCTAGTGTTTAATAGCTTTCAACTCTCTGTGTTCCTTTCTTGGCAATGGTGTGTCTAGGCAGGACAAGATGGCTTCTAGTCCCAAGGAGCCAAGGTGTCTTGCTTCAGTGCTAGGTCTGGGAGCGCCTAGAAATGTAACATCCCTAATTTATGCTCCTCCCGCACTTCCCGGGCTAACAAGCCTTTCTTTCTCCAACTCCATGGCAGTGCGTAGGGCTGCCCAACAGTACGGCCTTCGAGAGGGAGGGGAAAATGACGACTGGACTCTCTACTGGACTGACTACTCGGTGTCACTGGAGCGGGTGATGGAAATGAAAAGTTACCAGGTATCTGGGTCAGAGCTGGTCCTCAGCATATGTGGCACCTGCCCTGTGGGGTCCCCACAGTTCCCTCAGGGGATCTTGTGTGTAATCCCATGTCCCCATTGTTCATGAATTCTGGCTTTCTTCATAGAAAATTAACCACTTCCCAGGGATGAGTGAAATCTGCCGCAAGGACTTGCTGGCCAGGAATATGAACCGCATGTTAAAGATGTTCCCTAAAGATTTCCACTTTTTCCCTAGGACCTGGTGTCTTCCTGCTGAGTGAGTACCTACCTGTGCTCCCTTCTCCACTCCCCATCCCCAGTGACATTTTCCTCCTGCTCCTGATTCCCTGGTTGCTACTTTCTCTTTCCACAGGATGGCCCATCTCTCCTATTCAGGAAGAGAAGGGAGAAAGGGCCTGGTCAAGGTTGAGGAAACATAAGGCTCTGCCTATAAAATTAGATGACATTTAGGGGCTGGGTGCCTTGCAACCTGAGAATTTGTTCTGACCCTGAAAGCTGTTGGTTTTGAACTTGTTCCAACCTTGTAACTGTGCAGTTTCTGGATTGTTAAGGACCGTGAGTACTTCAGCAGGGAGTCAGGTTATAGTTAATGCCCAGGTTAGGAGCAGGGAGGAATGCCTGACCTCTGTCCCATGGTAGTACCATGGATGGCCGTCAGCCTTTGCCCATCTCTGGTCTCACTTTATCCATCTTAAAACTGGACATCCATTCCTAATACATAAAATAGTCTGGACCACGCCACCAAGAAACAGGAGAAATGTGAGATGACATGAACATGACCTGGGTACAATCTGGCGTTTGAGATGAGGTGAAGGGGACAGAGAAGTGTTGCCATCAGGATTATACTCCCCTGGCAAAGGCCCCAGAGAAATCTCACTCCCCTCCTTTTTGCGCAGTGCTTTCCTGGACCAAGAGCTCCAGGGTTCTCAGCCTTTCCTAGCTGTCTGGAGCAACTTTCAGGGCTTAGCAGCAACTTAGAAGGGAATGTCTTTGCCATCAGGTCAGCAGGCACCTCCAGATTTCATGGCCACTGAGGAACAATACAGTTAAGTGACCTCCAGTGGTCAGAAGGCCCCTTTAAGTTAAAATGCAAAACAAGAAATATAGCAAGACTGAGATTTGTAGTCCATCAAGTTGGTTTCTTTATTGCTTCCAGCTATACTTTCTTCAAAGTTTGTTCAAAGGTAGTCTTTGCCCTCTCACACTCCGGCTGGAGTGGAGATGTTACAGGGGAAAAGCGGAGCCCAGAGTGGAGGAAGAAGACGATTGATCCAAGGTCACATCACTCGGGGCTTGAGCCAGATTCAGAACTCTGAATCTATCTACAAACTCAGAAAGTCAAACTCCTTGGTCATGGCTAACTTTATGGGGTATGCAGCATGTATCAGCACCTTGCCTGCATTATGTCATGTGCAAGATAGGTGTCATTATCCTCATAGTGTAGACAATGGAATTGAGGCTTACAGAGGTCAAGTCCTTGCAAAGGGCTACACAGCTGGTAAGTGATATTGTCTAGATTTCAATCCAGGCCTGAATTCACTCCAAAGCCTACCCTCTCTCCACCGTGTGTGCTCTACTGTCTCTTATATGATCAGACCTCTGGGTGTCTGTCAACTCCAGGGCTTTTGTCACATCAGATGGTTGGGTTTTTTTGTTTTGTTTTGTTTTTCTGTTTTTGTTGTTGTTTTTAAAGAGCTAGGCTTCTTTTTCACTGCTCTCCAGCTAAAGGCATATCTCGTTTCCTCTCTGTTCTGGTAGCTGGGGAGATTTGCAGAACTACAGCAGGTCAAGAAAAAATAAGACATACATTTGTAAGCCAGATTCGGGCTGCCAAGGAAGAGGTATATTCATGACCCGGACGGTGAAAGAAATCAAACCAGAGGAGGACATGATCTGTCAGCTCTATCTTTCAAAGGTACTTCCTCATTGTGATTATCTATTTGTCCCCATAGCAACCCCAGACTGTAGCCCCACTGGACCAAATGTGAAATAAGGGAATGGAAGCCAAGGGTGGGGGTAGAGCCGAGTCGTCTTCTGCCTTGGGCTTTGTCAGCCCGAGCCTTCTGACCAGGGATGTGACATGGGCCTGAGCCACAGTGTCCCTCACCCTTGCACTCTTGTGGGTTAGTCTGGCCCTACCAGGCTGCTCCTTTGTCTAGCAGACGACAGTTGGGAGAACACTTTTGGTCTGTGGAGGCCCCAGTCATTTGGGACAGGGAAGTAGACCTGGAGTGATAATGGTAACCAGCTTGACTCCATAACTAGAGGTCAAGGTCACAGTGGTAGAGCCCACTGCAAGAAGGGAGCCCTCTAGAACTGTGTGTGGAGGGGAAGCATCGGCCAGCATTGCAGATTAGCATTGCAGGGAGAATTCGTACAGAACTGCTCCAATAGCATAGCCCTGGATGGTGACAGCATGTTCTTTATCACAGGACTTCTTTTTTGTTTTTTAATTTATTTTTTTTATTGGGAAATTGGAACAGCGTTGGGGAATCGGGGAAGGGGAACAGACAAGTTGCTGTCCTTTTGTTCTTCAGTCTAGTTGTGGAGGACATCGCTTCACTGGCCCA